TTTAAAAATGTGATTACCTCTCGCGAAATTCGCCCCGCACGAAAATGATTTAATATTAAACCGAAGTAAACTTTTTGGAATATACATAAATTTCGTTAACGCTAATACCGATCGTAATTCATGTCCCTGTAAATATTTATTGTTAATTTATCTGTTTGTGCGGTTTTCGAGTGTCTTTCCGATGGAAGAGTAGCTTTGAGTCATTTTCCCCATGCGAAATTTATACGTTTCGTGACAATACGGTTATTGGAGCGTGTGCGTCAATCGAATTATTGAAAAGTCAAATCAAATCGAATATGACGAGTTTGTATCAATTTAACGCTTTGTCAAGCAAACTTTATTGGGCGATGATATGCGTATTTTCCGCCAACGGGCATTTTTGTGGAAAAGGGAGAGAAATTGTTGCTACTACCACAAAAAACTAAAAGTTGTGTGTTGTCTCCCCTTCATCATCGTCGCCCATTTTTAGCGCATTTCCACAAAAATAGTCAGTCCGTCTGTCCGTCCGTCTCTCCGTCCGTCTCTCCGTCCGTCTGGACGCTACTAGTTCTTTATCTTCGAGCTATTGTTCTACTTTTTTCACTATTTGGTTCGTTATGGTGTGGCTTGCACCAAGGAAGGAATTTTTTCTGCGTTTATTGCTAAAAAAGTGATTGTATAAAAATCCAAAAACAATGTTTTACATGTTCCATAATTTTGTCGTTTATTAACGATCCTAGAGATCGTTTACTCCCGCAATATAAGAGTGCTTTACATGCAGGTATGAATGAGTTAAAAAATTTCGCAAACTTGAAGCAGACGAAATTTATTATTAAAGGGTTGTTTAAGGGTTGGTTACAGATTATTTAAACATAATCTATCAAAAAAACAAAAATGTTCGGTGTACTACGTAAAGGAACAACCCCCGCAATATAAGAGTGCTTTACATGCAGGTATGAATGACTTAAAAAATTCGCAAACTTGAAGCAGACGGAAATTTATTATTAAAGGGTTGTTTAAGGGTTGGTTACAGATTATTTAAACATAATCTATCAAAAAACAAAAATGTTCGGTGTACTACGTAAAGTAACAACCCCCGCAATATAAGAGTGCTTTACATGCAGATATGAATGATTTAAAAAAATTTCGCAAACCTGAAGCAGACTGAAATTTATTATTAAAGGGTTGTTTAAGGGTTGGTTACAGATTATTTAAACATAATCTATCAAAAAACAAAAATGTTCGGTGTACTACGTAAAGTTACAACCCCCGCAATATAAGGTGCTTTACATGCAGGTATGAATGACAAAAACCTTTCGCAAACTTAAAGTAGACGGCAAATATTATTAAAGGTTGTTTAAGGGGTGGTTATAGATTATTTAAACATAATCTATCAAAAAACAAAAATGTTCGGTGTACTACGTAAAGGAACAACCCCCGCAATATAAGAGTGCTTTACATGCAGGTATGAATGACTTAAAAAATTACGCAAACTTGAAGCAGACGGAAATTTATTATTAAAGGGTTGTTTAAGGGTTGGTTAGAGATTATTTAAACATAATCTATCAAAGAAACAAAAATGTTCGGTGTACTACTTAAGGAACATCCCCCGCAATATAAGAGTGCGAAGCAGACGCAAACCTGAAAGTTATTATTAAAGGGTTGTTTAAGGGTTGGTTAGAGATTATTTAAACATAATCTATCAAAAAAACAAAAATGTTCGGTGTACTACGTAAAGGAACAACCCCCGCAATATAAGAGTGCTTTACATGCAGGTATGAATGACTTAAAAAATTACGCAAACTTGAAGCAGCCGAAATTTATTATTAAAGGGTTGTTTAAGGGTTGGTTATAGATTATTTAAACATAATCTATCAAAGAAACAAAAATGTTCGGTGTACTACGTAAAGAACAACCCCCGCAATATAAGAGTGCTTTACATGCAGGTATGAATGACTTAAAAAATTCGCAAACTTGAAGCAGACGGAAATTTATTATTAAAGGGTTGTTACGGGGTTGGTTATAGATTACTTAAACATAATCTATCAAAAAAACAAAAATGTTCGGTGTACTACGTAAAGGAACAACCCCCGCAATATAAGAGTGCTTTACATGCAGGTATGAATGACTTAAAAAATTTCGCAAACTTGAAGCAGCCGCAAATTTATTATTAAAGGGTTGTTTAAGGGTTGGTTACAGATTATTTAAACATAATATATCAAGAAACAAAAATGTTCTGTGTACTGCGTAAAGGAACAACCCCCGCAATATAAGTGTGCTTTACATGCAGCTGAATGACAAAAAATTTCGCAAACTTGAAGCAACGAAATTTATTATTAAAGGGTTGTTTAAGGGTTGGTTAGAGATTATTTAAACATAATCTATCAAAGAAACAAAAATGTTCGGTGTACTACATAAAGGAACAACCCCCGCAATATAAGAGTGCTTTACATGCTGGTATGAATGACTTAAAAAATTCGCAAACTAAAGTAGACGGAAATTTATTATTAAAGGGTTGTTTAAGGGTTGGTTATAGATTATTTAAACATAATCTATCAAAGAAACAAAAATGTTCGGTGTACTACTTAAGGAACAACCCCCGCAATATAAGAGTGCTTTACATGCAGGTATGAATGACTTAAAAAAATTTCGCAAACCTGAAGCAGACGGAAATTTATTATTAAAGGGTTGTTTAAGGGTTGGTTACAGATTATTTAAACATAATCTATCAAAGAAACAAAAATGTTCGGTGTACTACGTAAAGGAACAACCCCCGCAATATAAGAGTGCTTTACATGCAGGTATGAATGAGTTAAAAAAATTTCGCAAACTTGAAGCAGCCGCAAATTTATTATTAAAGGGTTGTTTAAGGGTTGGTTATAGATTATTTAAACATAATCTATCAAAAAAACAAAAATGTTCGGTGTACTACGTAAAGTAACAACCCCCGCAATATAAGAGTGCTTTACATGCAGGTATGAATGACTTAAAAAATTACGCAAACTTGAAGCAGACGGAAATTTATTATTAAAGGGTTGTTACGGGGTTGGTTATAGATTACTTAAACATAATCTATCAAAAAAAACAAAAATGTTCGGTGTACTACGTAAAGGAACAACCCCCGCAGTATAAGAGTGCTTTACATGCAAGTATGAGCCACTTAAAAAATTTCGCAAACTTGAAGCAGCCGCAAATTTATTATTAAAGGGTTGTTTAAGGGTTGGTTACAGATTATTTAAACATAATATATCAATGAAACAAAAATGTTCTGTGTACTGCGTAAAGGAACAACCCCCGCAATATAAGAGTGCTTTACATGCAGGTATGAATGACTTAAAAAATTTCGCAAACTTGAAGCAGACGGAAATTTATTATTAAAGGGTTGTTTAAGGGTTGGTTACAGATTATTTAAACATAATCTATCAAAAAAACAAAAATGTTCGGTGTACTACGTAAAGTAACAACCCCCGCAATATAAGAGTGCTTTACATGCAGGTATGAATGACTTAAAAAATTTCGCAAACTTGAAGCAGACGGAAATTTATTATTAAAGGGTTGTTTAAGGGTTGGTTACAGATTATTTAAACATAATCTATCAAAGAAACAAAAATGTTCGGTGTACTACGTAAAGTAACAACCCCCGCAATATAAGAGTGCTTTACATGCAGGTATGAATGACTTAAAAAATTTCGCAAACCTAAAGTAGACGGAAATTTATTATTAAAGGGTTGTTTAAGGGTTGGTTACAGATTATTTAAACATAATCTATCAAAAAACAAAAATGTTCGGTGTACTACGTAAAGTAACAACCCCCGCAATATAAGAGTGCTTTACATGCAGGTATGAATGACTTAAAAAATTTCGCAAACTTGAGCAGCCGCAAATTTATTATTAAAGGGTTGTTTAAGGGTTGGTTACAGATTATTTAAACATAATCTATCAAAGAAACAAAAATGTTCGGTGTACTACGTAAAGTAACAACCCCCGCAATATAAGAGTGCTTTACATGCAGGTATGAATGACTTAAAAAAATTTCGCAAACCTAAAGTAGACCGAAATTTATTATTAAAGGGTTGTTTAAGGGTTGGTTACATATTATTGCAACATAATCTATCAAAGAAACAAAAATGTTCGGTGTACTACGTAAAGTAACAACCCCCGCAATATAAGAGTGCTTTACATGCAGGCAATGAATGACTTAAAAAATTTCGCAAACTTGAAGCAGACCGAAATTTATTATTAAAGGGTTGTTTAAGGGTTGGTTACAGATTATTTAAACATAATCTATCAAAGAAACAAAAATGTTCGGTGTACTACATAAAGGAACAACCCCCGCAATATAAGAGTGCTTTACATGCAGGTATGAATGACTTAAAAAAATTTCGCAAACCTGAAGCAGACGGAAATTTATTATTAAAGGGTTGTTTAAGGGTTGGTTACAGATTATTTAAACATAATCTATCAAAAAAACAAAAATGTTCGGTGTACTACGCCAAGGAACAACCCCCGCAATATAAGAGTTCTTTACATGCAGGTATGAATGACTAAAAAATTTTTCGCAAACCTAAGTAACGAAAATTTATTATTGAAGGGTTGGTTAAGGGTTGGTTATCCTCAAATTTCCTTTCAATCTTCTGCTTATATTTCTGCTTCATTTTCTTCCTCCTCTTTCCAATTATTAAGATGGTAAAACGTCCCATATGGATCGGGAAAAGGCATTTTCCAAAAGATTTAGTTTATAGAATTCCACGTAGATGGAGTCGGCAAGTTTGGGGATATAAAAGGATTATCGATGGCCTCTAAAATCAAGCTTATCGCTTACAATTATAAAAGTTGCTTATTTCTTGAATTTTGATATTGTCTCAGATTTCTCCATGGTTGTTTCGAAAAGAACCGATTCTCTGTAGTCAGAGTTCAAAACAACCACGAAGATTTTTTTATAAGAATTGTAAACTCAAAACGCCTGATTATTTTACAAAAATTGTATGATTTTTGAAGGAAACTCGGTCAAAAATCAGAAGTCAATGCAGGGTAACCTTTATTCAGAACAGACTTCACATCAAATCTGTATATACCAGTGGCGCGCTTCGAAAAATTGGTCGTAGCACCTACTCCGTGGTATCCCCACATTCGTGGAGATTATCTCCGTCCTTGCACCTAAACTCGCAACCGGCGTCGGTTTCGGTCCAGAAGGGTTCACCTCGACTGCACTCGCATCCGGGTTCTTGACTACCGGGATCGCAAGGGTCTTGAGCTATCGCATTGTAGAAGAGCGCGAAGGTGATCAAGACAACGAAGATGTATTTCATATCTGGAGCAGAGGCAAAATCAGAAATGCGATTTAATTACGAATTAAAAAATACTTACTTGCTTTGGTACTGGAAAAGCTTCACAATGTTGACTCTGTTCCTATCCTTTGCTTATATACAGACGACCGAAGCCTTGACTTGCGTGTGAGCTCATTTAAAAACTTCCCCTTTTGTGAATTTCGCACTTTAATTGGTGTTTTTTAATTTAAAAAAAAGGATGACTAAGATACATTTGGCCGTCATAGACTGACCAATTAAGATATTTTCCTGCATGATTTATTACCCGTAAATCAACCACTACACTCACTGGAGAAATTTGCATAAAACATAAACAGAATTAACAATGTTATTGTTATTTTCGTACAAATGGTAAACAATTAGTCACAGCAATGTACCTTTCAAAAATAAAATACAAAGCACGTCATATGTCTGGGACCATGGCATTTTCCTTGAGGCTTCTTTATGCTATCAGCTATTTGAAGAATCCAAAAAAGGTGACCATGGCGAAGAAACCCGAGATGACTGAGCAAAAGCGAGGAATACAGAAAAGCAATAGTAAAAGGAAAAGAACTGGTTAGAGCAAAAAATGTTTTAAGGAGATTTTAGAATAGCTGTAGTGGTCACCAAAATCGATCTAAGGGTTCTAAGAAGCCAGGATGTTTATAATTTAAAATACGTAAATTGGTAGCAGACTTGGGTACCATAAAAAGTTTCCTTAAAAGCATGTTTTGAAGATATATTCAGTGTACCAGAAATAATTGTTCACTATGTATATATGTCAATATATTAACCCTATTTCGTTTATGGTTTTTTTTCGGATTTGTAGGTTTCGCTTTTGCGGCTTCTCCGTCTGCTTCTGCTCCAAGCTTTTCTCGTCCATCTACGTGGGAGATCCTCGCTTTCTTTGGAATTTCCAGCGTCATTGGCGTCGTCAGTTTTCTATTGAATATGTTGGCTTCTCCGGGAACTCTGTTTTTCAGCACCACCTCCGTTCTCCGTTCCTTGGAATTCACGTTCTACCCAAAGAAAATGAAGAAGGCGTAGAAAAACAAGGTAATCGAGGAAGATGAAAAAATCTGAAAGTGTTCAAAAAGCTGCAAGAAGGCGACAATGAGACGAAAACCGCTCTGAAATGAAAACAAGCAAAGGAAGCGCAGAGTAAGCGAAGAAATTGATAACTTTTAGGATCCTAAATTTACCGAATGCGTTCTTCGAACCGCAAATCAAGAGTCCAAGATGGAGCCAAAAAAACCAAAAAGCCAAGAAAGCATCCGAAGTGAAAATAGGGCACGTGTAAGAAGCTTAGGAAACGGATAAGATGCACTAAAAAAAACCGGAATCGGGAAAGCCCATAAAGATAAATAATCCAAAAGTGACAAGTCAAAGATTGAAAAGATGAGGAAATGGAGTAGTCGAAGAAGCACAAAAAATCGAGGGAGCCTTGGACATAGGAAAGCGTGGATGGAAGGCAAAGAAGCTTAATAAATTAAGGTACCCACAATAGCTTAAGAAGAGGAGGAAGCGAAAGCGGACAAAGACACTGGTGATTGACATGGAGCCAAAGAAATGGAAGATGTCGGAAGCCCTAGAAAAGTGAAGAACTCGACATGACCAAAGCTTCATAAGAGAGATGCGAAGTTTGAGGAGCGAGAGATCCGAAGTTGTCGATGAAGACCGGAAAGCTGATGAAACGCGAAGAACCCGAAAATGTCCAATAGCCAAACGAAGAAAACGCAGAAGCGGGAAAACGACGAAGAAACCAAAGACGTCAAAAAACAGCAATTACCTTTTCGCAAAAGTTACCATAGAGGTGCTAGGGGTAGTAGAGCCATAATATCGAGTCATCCTTTACTTGGTAAATAAAAGAGCATCGCCGTATAACAGAGGCCCCGTACGGTGCGGAATGGTCCTCAGAAACAAAAAATTCTCACAAACTATCATGAGAGCCTTGAAGGCTCATCCTAGCACCGGTTTGGTTACCTTTCCGCAAAGGTTACCATGGGGGTCTTGGGGCAGTAGCGCAGTAATATCGTCATTCTTTACTAGGTAATGGAATCTTCGTATACCGGGGGGGGGGCTCCCGAAATAGCATCGCACTTAAAACAGCGGTCCCGTAGAGTGTAGAGTATGGAATACTCTTCGGGAAAGAAAGATTCCACTGTTCATTCCTACAAACTATCATGAGCGCCCTGATCGCTCATTGTTATTGGGAAAGAACCTAGCCCCAGGGGGCCTGGGGGTATTCCTAGTACCCCTTCTCCCAGTAAAACGAAGATTTTTTATTTCCTTTTCGCAAAGGTTGACACAGGGGTGCTAGGGGTAGTAAAGCAGTAATGTAGAGTGACCTGAGGTAATTCTGGGTAATCGAATCTTCGTACACCGAGAAATCTGAACTCCTCAAAGTTAAAAGTTGCAGATCAGACAAGGGAAAAACACACTGAAGAATTTTGAGGAAAGATGAAAAACGGAAGATGGATAGTAAAGCGTGGGAAGGGAAGGTTTCTTGCTCTCTCTTTCGCCGTCTTCACCCTTTTGACTTTTTTGCTTTCTTCGGCTACTCTGATCACTACAGTATTTTCGATTTCGTCACATCCTTTGACTTCCTCAATTTTTTGTTTTGTTTTGAGGCCTTTGGCGTTTCATTGCCTTCCTCGTTTTTCGAGGCGCAGACCATCCTAGATTACCTTGTTTTTCCATGCCTCCTCGGCATTACAGTGAGTAACTAACTGCTGTCTTTAAGGCTTTATGGAAATTTCTCCAGTAAGTGTAGTTGTTGATTTACGGACAATAAAGGATGTAGGAAAATACCTTAATTGCTCAGTCTATAAAGGCTAAGTAGCACTTGCTCACCATTTTTACTAATTAAGCATAATTAAAATTTACAAAAAGGTGAAGTTTTTTAATGAGCTTACATGCAAGTCAAGGTTTCCGCCGTCTGTATATAAAAAAGGGATTGGAATAGGGTCAGCACTGTGAAGTGTCTCCAATACTAAGCAAGTAAGTATTTTTTGTATTTCGTAATCAAACCATTTCTGATCTTGCAATTGCTCCAGACATGAAATACATCATCGTTATCTTGATCGCCTTCGCACTCTTCCACAATGCGATAGCTCAAGAATCTTGTGATCCCGGTAGTCAAGGACCCGGATGCGAGTGCAGTCGAGGTGAACCCTTCTGGACCGAAACCGACGCTGGTTGCGAGTTTAGATGCAAGGACGGAGATAATCTCCACGAATGTGGGGATACCACGGCGTAGGTGCTAAGACAAGTTTTTCAAGGTGTGCTGCTGGTGTATTTTAGTGATTTGGTGTGAAGTCTGTTTAGAATAAAGGGTACCTTACATTGATCTCTTATTTTTGGACTAATGCCCGCTTATCCTTTCAAAATTCTTACATAATAACCAAGCTCTTGTGTTCAAAGCTCCCAACGGGTCGTGGAAAAAAATTGCTTGAACTCTGACTTTGACTGAGTCTGTTCCTTTTGAAACAACCATGGTTTTTGAGGCCTTTCCTATTTTTAAGAAAAATAAGTATCCGATCCGATCCGATGAACCCGACAGTCCCAATTTAGTAAAGAAACCTGTAAAGACAGATGATGGAGCCGCAGCACGAAAATATTCTGCAGAATTCAGAGATTCGAGAGAGTTGATTAAAAAGTAACCGAGAAATATAAACACCTCAAAGTCAAAGGTGTCATATAAGGCCATCAGGGAAAGTCGCACTGAAGATGAATAAAGCGTGCTGGAAAGGGGGGGAATCTGAAGATTTCCTGCTCTCTTGCAAAGGTTACTATGGATGTTCAAGGGGTAGTAGTCAAGTCTATAATTCTAAACTTCTAAGACATACCCTCCAGACCCCCCGGTACTACGTTCTTCTGCAATAACAATGAGTGTTTAAGGCTCTCACGATACTTTAAAGGAACAGAGAGTGGATGGAATCTTTCTTTCCTGAGGAGTGTTTTTTGAACTAGTAGCTCAATCTTGGAACTGTTTGAAATTATGGATTCTACAGGCCCCATTCTATAAGAAAATTTTTTTCCGGGTCGATCTGAGACAATTTTTTTTGCGGGCCTCAAAAAAAGGCAGTGTATAACCTTCCTTTTTTACCAAAAATCGACTACACCAAATTTTCTCGGGAAAACACTTTTTCTTATTAATTTGGGTGCGTAGAATCCAAATCAATTCGTACTTTTTCGATCAGACTTCTCAATCAAAAGTTATAGACTAGAAAAAATTCAAAGGGCTGTAACTTTTGAACTAGTAGCCCAATCTTGGAACTGTTTGAAATTATGGATTCTACAGGCCACATTCTATAAGAAAATTTTTTTCCGGGTCGATCTGAGACAATTTTCTTTTCGGGGCTCAAAAAAAGGCAGTGTATAACCTTCCTTTTTTACCAAAAATCGACTGCACCAAAATTTCTCGGGAAAACACTGTTTCTTATTAATTTTGGTGCGTAGAATCCAAAACAATTCGTACTTTTTCGATTAGACTTCTCAATCAAAAGTTATAGACTAGAAACCAATGTCGAAAAAAAATTCAAAGGGCTGTAACTTTTGAACTAGTAGCCCAATCTTGGAACTGTTTGAAATTATGGATTCTACAGGCCACATTCTATAAGAAAATTTTTTTCCCGGGTCGATCTGAGACAATTTTTTTTGGGGCCTCAAAAAAAGGCAGTGTATACTGTATAACCTTCCTTTTTTGCCAAAAATCGACTGCACCAAAATTTCTCGGGAAAACACTTTTTCTTATTAATTTTGGTGCGTAGAATCCAAAACAATTCGTACTTTTTCGATCAGACTTCTCAATCAAAGTTATAGACTAGAAACCAATTTCGAAAGAAAATTCAAAGGGCTGTAACTTTTGAACTAGTAGCCCAATCTTGAAACTGTTTGAAATTATGGATTCTACAGGCCACATTCTATAAGAAAATTTTTTTCCGGGTCGATCTGAGACAATTTTTTTTTCGGGCCTCAAAAAAAGGCAGTGTGTAACCTTCCTTTTTTACCAAAAATCGACTGCACCAAAATTTCTCGGGAAAACACTTTTTCTTATTAATTTTGGTGCGTAGAATCCAAAACAATTCGTACTTTTTCGATCAGCATTCTCAATAAAAGTTATAGACTAGAAACCAATTTCGAAAGAAAATTCAAAGGGCTGTAACTTTTGAACTAGTAGCCCAATCTTGGAACTGTTTGAAATTATGGATTCTACAGGCCACATTCTATAAGAAAAATCTTTTTCCGGGCCGATCTGAGACAATTTTCTTTGCGGGCCCCAAAAAAAGGCAGTTATTACATCCCTTTTTTACCAAAAATCGACTGCACCCAAATTTCTCGGGAAAACACTTTTTCTTATTAATTTTGGTGCGTAGAATCCGAAACAATTCGTACTTTTTCGATCAGACTTCTTAATCAAAAGTTATAGACTAGAAACCAATTTCGAAAAAAATTCAAAGGGCTGTAACTTTTGAACTAGTAGCCCCATCTTGGAACTGTTTGAAATTATGGATTCTACAGGCCACATTCTATAAGAAAATTTTTTTTCCGGGTCGATCTGAGACAATTTTTTTTTGGGGCTCAAAAAAAGGCAGTTAATTACCTCCTTTTTTACCAAAAATGACTGCAACCACAATTTCTCGGGAAAACACCTTTTTCTTATTAATTTGGGTGCGTAGAATCCGAAACATTCGTACTTTTTCGATCAGACTTCTTAACAAAGTTATAGACTAGAACCAATTTCGAAAGAAAATTCAAAGGGCTGTAACTTTTGAACTAGTAGCCCAATCTTGGAACTGTTTGAAATTATGGATTCTACAGGCCACATTCTATAAGAAAATTTTTTCCGGGTCGATCTGAGACAATTTTTTTTTGCGGCCTCAAAAAAAGGCAGTGTATAACCTTCCTTTTTTACCAAAAATCGACTGCACCAAAATTTCTCGGGAAAACACTTTTTCTTATTAATTTTGGTGCGTAGAATCCAAAACAATTCGTACTTTTTCGATCAGACTTCTCAATCAAAAGTTATAGACTAGAAACCAATTTCGAAAAAAATTCAAAGGGCTGTAACTTTTGAACTAGTAGCCCAATCTTGGAACTGTTTGAAATTATGGATTCTACAGGCACACATTCTATAAGAAAATTTTTTCCGGTCGTATCTGAGCAATTTTCTTTGCGCCCCAAAAAAGGCATGTGTACAACCTTTCCATTTTTACCAAACCGACTACACCAAATTTTCTTGCGGGGAAAACAAATTTTTCTATTAATTTGGGGCGTAGAATCCAAAAAATTCGTACTTTTTCGAAATCAGACTTCTCAATGAAAAGTTATATCTATATATTTCTTTAACATAATAATTATTGCTGTACTAGCACCTCCCACGGTAACTTTACGTAAAGGTAATCGAATGTTCGATTGGTTTTTTTGTATTTTTGTATGTCCTTTGGGATTTAATTCTACTTTACGCGTTTCATCAGCTCTCTCGTCTTCCTTGACGTCTTCGTAATTTGTCCCTTCGCAATCTCCCTTATGCTGTTTTCGGTCATGTGAACTTTCCTCGCCTTTAGGCATTCGACGTCTTCGATCTCCTTGACGTTTTGCCAGATTCTTTGTCCGCTTTGGCTCCCTCTATTGTTTAATCTGCTTTGCCTTCCACGCTTTGCTATGCTAAAATCCTTTGATTTTCAGAATTTCTCGATTAGGTACTTAATTTTCCTGTGCTTCTTCACCCTCCCCATTTCCTCATATACTCAATCTTTTTCAAATTCCTTAGGCTTACTTGATTCCTCAAGATTAATCAGTTTCATGAGCTTTCTCGATTCCGGCTTCTTTGGATACATCAGCTTTGTCCATGTCGACAATCTTTTTTGTTTCCTAAGCTTCATATACGTGCCCGATTTTCNTAGCTGGAACTGCGCATGACTTTCACGCAACGAGTAGTCTAGACCAGTCGTTGCGTTCGATCAACTTTTCGCTCGATGTGGTAGGTTCGAGAATGCAGTGACATTCACGTTCACATCAAGGTCAGTCGATGTGAACAAAGCACATCTTCGGGAATCGACGCCCAGATTCTTTGTCCGCTTTGGCTCCCTCTATTGTTTAATCTGCTTTGCCTTCCACGCTTTGCTATGCTAAAATCCTTTGATTTTCAGAATTTCTCGATTAGGTACTTAATTTTCCTGTGCTTCTTCACCCTCCCCATTTCCTCATATACTCAATCTTTTTCAAATTCCTTAGGCTTACTTGATTCCTCAAGATTAATCAGTTTCATGAGCTTTCTCGATTCCGGCTTCTTTGGATACATCAGCTTTGTCCATGTCGACAATCTTTTTTGTTTCCTAAGCTTCATATACGTGCCCGATTTTCACTTCGCGTGTTTGGCTTCTTCAGACCACTCGGCCTCTTTGACTTTTCCCAACTCCCTCGTATTCATTTGCTTGTCCGTTTCCTTCAGCTCTCTTGGCTTGTTGGTTTCTTTGACTTCATCATCCTTAATTGCTCCCTGGGCATCAATGGTTTCCTTGGCTTCATGATTTCCGGTTTTTTTAGGATCCCTAGGTTGTGGTCTTCTTGGAAACTTATTTTTCTTTAAAATAGTAAAGGCCTCTTAAACCATGGTTGATTCAAAAGGAACAGACTGAGTCAGAGTCAGAGTTCAAACAATTGTTTTCCCCGACCCGTTGGGAGCTTTAAACCCAAGAAGCATGTAAAAATGTTGAAAGGAAAATCGAGCATTAGTCTAAAAACAAGATATCAACGCAAGGTAACCTTTATTCTAAACAGATTTCACATAAAATCACTAAAATACAGTGTGTACCAGTGGCACACCTCGAAAAACTTGTCTTGGTACCTACTCCGTGGCCTCACATTCGTTGAGATTATCCCCATCCTTGCACCTAAACACACAACCCTCGTCGGTTTGGGTCCAGAATGCTTCACCTTGAGTGCACTCGCATCCGGGCTCTTGACCCGCGGGATCGCAGGCTTCTTGAGCTATCGCATTGTAGAAGAGCGCGAAGGCGATCAAGACAACGAAGATGTATTTCATGTCTGGAGCAGTTGCAAGATCAGAAATGGTTAGATTACGAAAGAAAAAGTACTTACTTGCTTAGTATTGGAAAAGCTTCACAATGCTCACTCTATTCCAATCCTTTGCTTATATACAGACGACGGAATCATTGACTTGCATATAAGCTCATTTAAAAACTTACCTTTTGCACTTTGATTATGTTTAATTAATAAAAACGATGAAAAAGTGCAATTTAGCTTTCATAGAGTGAGCAATTAAGGTATTTTCCTCCATCATCGTTGCCCGTAAATCAAGAAGTATAATGTATACTTACGGGAGATATTTCCATAAACAAAAACAGAATGAGTTAATTAACGGCAATCATTAGCAATTTTAGTGTTATTTCGGTACAAATCGTAATTAATTATTCACTGTAATGTGCCTTTTAAAAATACAGTTCGCGTAAAATGTCCGGAACCATGGCCCATTTACTTGAAGATCTTTCAATGTCTAAGCGGACGAAGTCAAGGAATCACTGGAGACGAAGGCGATGTAGAAACTTAAACAACGGAAAAACGAGAGAATACAGGTAGACGCCTAAAGATGATATCGAAGAAATTGAAGAATCCAAACAAGTCGAAGAACTGGTTAAAGCAGAGAACGTTAACGAATTTGAATAAGAGAGACCTGGGAATCTGAAAAAGCAGAAGAAACCGAAGGGGCATGGAAAAACGAGGTAATCGAGGAAGTCTGAGAATCAAAAGGTCTGAGCCTAGTAAACGAGGAAGGCAATGAAGCGATTCAAAACAAAAAAAAGTCGAGGAAACTGTCGGATCCCTCCCTTTCCATCCTTAACTATTCATCTTCCGCAATTCATCTTTCCTCAAAATTCTCACTTTTGACTTGGTGGTGATGGACTTGTTTAGATTTCTCGGTTACTTTTTAATCAACCCTATGGAATAACCCCCCAGTATACGAAAATTCGATTACCCAGTAAAGGATGACTACTACCCCTAGAACATTCATAGTAACCTTTGCGAAAAGGTAACTGAATTTTGATTCACTGGGGGGGGGGGGGGGGATTCCATACCTTTTTATTTTATATTACTTATAGAACAGTCCTCTACTGGGTAATCGAATCTTCGTATACTTCATAAACCCCCCTTCCCCCTCACGATACTACGTTATTCCGCAACAAGGTGAAGTGTATGGAATACCTCTCAGTAAATCGAAGATTCGGTTACCTTCTCTTTTAGGTTACCATGGAGGTGCTAGGGGTAGTAGAGCAATAATTATTCTTTACCATCAGTGTTAGAGGTAAGGGAATTAAAAAAACACCCTTTACTGGGTAATCGAATCTGCGTATACTGGCAATTTGGCCCGTAAAATCCATAATTTCAAACAGTTTGAAGATTGGGCTACTAGATCAAAAGTTACAGCACTTTGAATTTTCTTTCGAAATTGGTTTCTAGTCTATAACTTCTGATTGAGAAGTGTGATCGAAAAAGTACGAATTGTTTTTGATTCTACGCAAAAAAATTAATAAGAAAAAGTGTTTTCCCGGGAAATTTTGGTGCAGTCGATCTTTGGTAAAAAAGGAAGGTTGTACACTGCCTTTTTTTGAGGCCCGCAAAAAAAATTGTCTCAGATCGAACCGGAAAAAAGTTTCTTATAGAAAGTGGCCTGCAGAATCCATAACTTCAAACAGTTCCAAGATTGGGCTACTGGTTCAAAAGTTACAGCCCTTTGAATTTTCTTTCGAAATTGGTTTCTAGTCTATAACCTTTGATTGAGAAGTCCGATCGAAAAAGTACGAATTGTTTTGGATTCTACGCACCAAAATTAATAAGAAAAAGTGTTTTCCCGAGAAATTTTGGAGTAGTCGATTTTTGGTAAAAGAAGGAAGGTTAAGTATTCAAATACTATGCGAAGTATTCGAATACTTCTCAAAGTATTCAAATACCTTGCGAAGTATTCGAATACTAAATATTTGTGAAAGTATTTGAGTTACAAATACAAATACTGCTTCCATAAAAGTATTTAATTACAAAGTATTTCAATACTTTAAAGGATTTGAATACTAAAAAGTATTTACAAAATCGAATACTGCCCAGCTCTGTCAGGAAAGAAGGGTGTCTGTTCGCATAAATTCTCAATAATAATAATAATAATAATAGCAGGAGTCCAGAACAGGTCCTTTGGAATCCCAAAGTAACCGAAAATATCAAGGGAGCCCCGTAGTTTAAGGTCAGGGAGATCCTAAAAGCCGAGGAACTCGACGATGCCAATTAAGTAAAGAAAGATGATGGAGCCAAAAGAACCAAAATATTCTGCAGGGATCCGACAGTTTCCTCGACTTTTTTTTTTGTTTTGAATCGCCTCATTGCCTTCCTCGTTTACTAGGCTCAGACCTTTGGATTCCAAGACTTCCTCGATTATCTCGTTTTTCCTTGCCCCTTTTGTTTCTTCTGCTGTTTCGGATTCCCAGGTCTCTCTTATTCAAATTCGTTGACAGATCTTCAAGGAAAATGGGTCATGGTTCCGGACATTTTACGCGAACTGTATTTTTGAAAGGCACATTACAGTGAATAATTAATTACGATTTGTACCGAAATAACACTAAAATTGCTAATGATTGCCGTTAATTAACTCATTCTGTTTTTGTTTTATGGAAATACCTCCAGTATACATATACTTCTTGATTTACGGACAACGATGATGGAGGAAAATACCTTAATTGCTCACTCTATGAAAGCTAAATTGCACTTTTTCATCGTTTTTATTAATTAAACATAATCAAAGTGCAAAAGGTAAGTTTTTAAATGAGCTTATATGCAAGTCAATGATTCCGTCGTCTGTATATAAGCAAAGGATTGGAATAGAGTGAGCATTGTGAAGCTTTTCCAATACTAAGCAAGTAAGTACTTTTTCTTTCGTAATCTAACCATTTCTGATCTTGCAACTGCTCCAGACATGAAATACATCTTCGTTGTCTTGATCGCCTTCGCGCTCTTCTACAATGCGATAGCTCAAGAAGCCTGCGATCCCGCGGGTCAAGAGCCCGGATGCGAGTGCACTCAAGGTGAAGCATTCTGGACCCAAACCGACGAGGGTTGTGTGTTTAGGTGCAAGGATGGGGATAATCTCAACGAATGTGAGGCCACGGAGTAGGTACAAAGACAAGTTTTTCGAGGTGTGCCACTGGTACACACTGTATTTTAGTGATTTGGTGTGAAGTCTGTTTAGAATAAAGGTTACCTTGCATTAATTTCTTGTTTTTGGACTAATGCCCGATTATCCTTTACAATTTTTACAACATAGCGTCTTGGGTTTAAATTGTGCCGGACTGTGGTACGAAAATCGCTAAGCTATCTAACTGTTCCTCAACCTGCTGATGCCGAGATTAAAGTTACATGGGCATTACTACAAGACAAACAAGATCATCTTCGTCGTCTGAACATAGAACATGGATTTAAGTCAATATTGAAATGACTGAAACCAAAGGATGTGGTCCAATAGAACTCTTGATTGGTTGCAACTGCAATTAGGATGGATTCTGTGTAACCAACATCGACTCGCAACACTACGATGATGGTGACATCAAAAAGTTATGGGAATTAGATGTTCTTGGCATAACAGACCCAAGAAGAATACATTTTAGCTGCAGAAGAATTCTTCGAGGAACCTGTGCCCTCGAAGTTACCGTGGTTAGCTGATCTTTCAGAGCTATGTAGCAATTACAACGTGGTAAAAAGAAACGACAATGAAGAAACTGACTAATGAAAAACTCGTTGAGACACGGTATTTAGACAATGGCTAGATCGGAAGATAATAGAGGACGTATCGAAAGAGCAATTTGGCAAGTTGCACATCTCGCGATCCGTCCTCGGTTAACCTCATTCTCATCACACTGCTCCGAAGAAATTTGCCATTTTTCTGGAGACTCGTACAACCAATTCGGTCCCTCCCACCAGCGAGATTCAATTAAATTGGAGGGTAGCACACCTAGAAATGGTAAATCAGCTGGCTTTTCCGAACCTGTCACATGATTGCATTCCGTAGGCGATGATAGAGAACAAATCTCTCGTCGTTTGATCCACGGCAGAACCATAGTGGAGTCATTCCAAAAATGATTTGGACAACCGAGATCGTAGGTGCCAGGAGTTCTAGTCTGGGTATCGTTGCTTTCTTCAAAAGAGCATTTCGACTTTTTGCAGCTAATAATCGAACGAAATCTTCTCCTCTTAAAAACACCACAGCTGCGTATGCGTTCTGGCTTCCATCACTGAAGACATGCAGACTCAACTCGTTGGAATCACGGAGAGAAAAATGTATCCAACAAGGAACCTTAATTTGCGCCAGAAGAACTTCTTCCAACCACCGTTGAAAATTCGAAAATATCTCTTATATTACTTGCTCATTCACTACTTTTTGTTCTCACTTCTTCCTCAGCAGTAACTTGGGCATGAAAAATGTACCTATGTGTAGCTGTCCGCTGGTCCGTTCAAACAAACTTTTAGGGTCTGGACAAATACATGAGCCTTGGTACTGTTGATGTGGGTATGGGTTTCCGTCAGAGTTTCCTCAATCTTATTTTGATGAATTGGCAACGTCAAACACATGAGAACGACATGTGGCTTACCACAGACTCACTCACTTAACAGAATTCTTACAATTTCTTGCTGCATGTCCTACTGTCAGGCACTTGAAGCAACCTTTTTTGCTGATCACGATCTTGTTCTTTTTCTCCAGCGAGCTTTTAAACAATTTGAGCCTTCGAGCGATTTCTCACAGAAAATGCAATTGCTCACATCACAATTCACTAACCCCACCGCAGTTGGGATTTTCTCTACAGTCCCTTTATCAGACACATGCTTCTTCTTCTCCTTTGCTGCTTGAAAACCTAATCGTTCAACTAGAAGTATTTATAAGCACCTCCTCATCCTTCTCTTCTCGGAATATTCTTCATCATAAATTACAGGGATCTTCGTAGCAGCCGAGGACATCTTTCCGAAAACGTTTTTCGAAATGCTATTAGTAGTATCTGTATCCTTTTGAGACGCCTCATAAATATCAATTACGTTAGATTTAACTTTTAATTAGTAAAAAAGGGTCTCCGAAAAAGTTCTGGCACAAGGCATTCATAAGTATTTCGGTCGTCAATTGTCTACCTGAGAACCGACCAACGGAGCTGAAGGTGAATATTAAAAAAAGTTGATGTATCCGAAGACAAAACACAAAAAGGCACGTGACGTCCAGTAAACTAGGACTGGGCGATTTTTCAAACAAGTCAACTATTTCCGTAATTTCGGAAATAAAGGAAGGGCCAAAAAAACGAAATAATTCAGGTTACCTTCTATTCTAGACATAATTGTTAGTAAACAAAACAAGTGCGTTTGTTTTTGTATTTAAACTGGCGCTGCTGCTGGTGCTGCTGCTATTTCTGCGCAAGTAAAGAGGGTCTCCTCACTCATGCACATGAACTGGCAGGATTCGGGCGTTCCACTCCAAAAAGCCTCACCTACTCCAGTGCAATCGCATCCAGGCTCTTGGTCACCGGGATCGCAAGGATCTTGCGTAATCGCAAAGTGGTAGAGTGCAAAGGCGATGAGGACAACGAAGATGTATTTCATTTCTGAAATAGATTGTAATTGATTTCAATGGACCTTTTTTAATGCACATTCTAATAGTGTAAAGATACTTACTTGCTGTTTGGTGTTGGATGAACTACACGATGCATTCAAATTCTAAGCTTATATACACAGCTTGCAAAGTCAAAAAAACTCTGATTCATTTTAAAAACTTTCCCTATTTTGCAAAACCTGCGATTCATTATAATTGCAATTACTGCTTAATTATCGAAAAATAAGATACATATTTATGCTTTGCCTTTGACTCATAGCAAATTTGGCAATTACGATTTTTTTCCTTCCCCATTAAGTTATAATCCAAAAAGATTAGATGCCCTTTGCACTTGTTAAAAAACCACTTTAGAAGCATGGGCACCAATTTTTTATTAATTAGCAATTTTAATTTTTGCAAAATACGCCAGTCATGAATAAAACTGCAATAAATGTTAATTAAACTATTAAATAATGACGCCCTAAGCTAAAGAATGGTTTATGTTAATCTGTGAAGCATCGTAACGACTAGCGCCAATAGGGCTTATATTTGGATTGTGATTATTTAAGGGTTGACACGTCATGTATATTTAAAACAAATGGTCATAGTATGTACAAATATTTTTGCATATTTTTATCACTTTAAAAGCCTTCAAAAAGTCTTTAACAAACCTCAAGGACGTTCAAAAGCGTTTGGAGTTGCTTAAAAGTCTTTAATAATCTTTTAGATTAATGAAACCATAGAGCACGCAAAAGTAATAGTTTACTTTTTCGAGGAAACTTAATAACATGCCTATTTTAATGCCAAGGAAGCCGAATGCCGAGTAGTGGGTTGACTTACCCTATCAGACCCTTACTCTGCCTAGGATTAAAAATATTGTATAGTGCTTAATGGTCTTAAAAAATATAGTTACGTTTTATTTTATTATTATGATTATTATTGAGAATTTATGCGAACAGAATTCGATTTTGTAAATACTTTTTAGTATTCAAATCCTTTAAAGTATTAAAATACTTTGTAATTAAATACTTTTATGTAAGCAGTATTTGTATTTGTAACTCAAATACTTTCACAAATATTTAGTATTCGAATACTTCGCAAGGTATTTGAATACTTTGAGATGTATTCGAATACTTCGCATAGTTTCCCGGGAAAACACTTTTTCTTATTAATTTTGGTGCGTAGAATCAAAAACAATTCGTACTTTTTCGATCAGACTTCTCAATCAAAAGTTATAGACTAGAAACCAATTTCGAAAGAAAATTCAAAGGCCTGTAACTTTTGAAATAGTAGCCCAATCTTGGAACTGTTTGAAATTATGGATTCTACAGGCCACATTCTATAAGAAAATTTTTTTTCCGGGTCGATCTGAGACAATTTTTTTTGCGGGCCTCAAAAAATGGCAGTGTATAACCTTCCTTTTTTACCAAAAATCGACTACACCAAAATTTCTCGGGAACACACTTTTTCTTATTAATTTTGGTGCGTAGAATCCAAAATTTGCGTGCTTCAAAAAAAGGCAGTGTACTTTTTTTCCCTTGCCGATTTTTTCGATTTGTGCTCTATTTAAATTCTTGAGCCATGTAAGTATTTCCTTTTTAAACCTGTTTAATAAGATGTAAGTTAGTATTGTAGTTTGATTTTTGCTAATTACCTTTAGTTCTTTGTTTTTGCCACTAGAGGCCATCCGACTAGTTATAAGCTTTCTTATTACAATAATTGTTGTGCTTTTGCACCAGAAGTTCCGGTTGCTTATCCCGTGTTTAATTCGGTATATTTGGGTGCAGTTGTATTTTTTTCCTTATCCTACTGCCATATTACATGCAAATTAGTGAAATTTATTTAAAATTTAAGATGAACATCAGTATATTTGTCATCTCAGTTTTGTTATTGATTCGAGTTTGAAAAACCGTATTGTTGTATCCCTTATGGAAGAGGTTAAACCATTTAAGTACCGTACCTGAAAATAAAATGAGCGATTACGAGTAGAGCGAGGGCCCTTTCTGGCATTATTCAACTAAGGATTTTTATTCTTGTTGGACTTTTAGGTTTTGAATGAGGAGAACTTAAACAACTATATGCGGATTTTGGCACGGAAATATCAATTATTATGGTGGGATTCAGGTCGATCCCATTCATGATGGCGGTTTGTTAAATTTGTGGAATATTCAAATATAGACATTGAGGTTACTAAGAGTTTGAGTAACGTAACATAATTCAATATTTGTGTGTTTATGGAATCGCAAAACCAGTCAACAAGAGCATTAGACTCCGCTAAAAAGCTTTTTTAAGATTTTAAGGACCTTTTAAGAGGTTAGCTTATCTGCAATTATATTCGAATTTTTGGATAGGAGCCTTTAAGACACTGGAACACATTACTTTTGAAAAGCATTAAGAAGCTTGAAAAGATCGCAAACAAATTTCTGAAGACTTGCACACTTTTAAATAGTACCCTTTTTTATCTTTTAGCTCTTAGAAGTTCTTAACGCACTGGGATTTTTTAGAGGACTACCAAGCTTTGAGTTTATTAGATTTTGAAAGCTTTGAGGATAACATTTGAAATGTGAACGTGTAACATCGCCCGACTTAGCTCCGATAAAGGTGGTTTACGTGTTTTAAAAATATTGGTGATTTGTGCGAGTGATGCATAACATGGCAAACAACAATACTAGTATTGTACGAACTTTTACTCTCACCCCAACCGAACTTTTTTCTACTGGAGATAACAATTAAACATATCAACACGCGACATAGAAACTTTAACCTGCACCTCAGGTCCGGGCAGAGGGCAGAATAACAATCTTCCGGCATGTGTGTATGCGGTACTTCCGATTTAATTCAACCTTGTACTAGAATAAGTTATTTTTTACGAAAAGTGAGCTCTTGTTACAAGAGCAGTTGTTGCTTCTGACAGAAAAACTTTAATCACCTTACAGTTGGAATCAAAATGTCCCAAACCTCAGGAAATCAAATGCTCCTACGTACGTATCAGCAGTAAAATCGACGCCCAAACCACTTTTTCCACAGAAAATCAGGGCAATAGGTACATGCACGCAGATGAGAACCTCAAACTATGATTATGTAAAAAGCAATAGGTGATATAATTCTGCCCCAAAAACACATAAACCTTTGCATCCAGGAATCTCCAACAATAGAATTTGTATATTACCTAGCAAACCTGATATTGTGATCAGCTCCTTAGGGTCACACCAGTTCAATAACAATTCAAAATATTGTTCTTAATATTCGCAGATTAATTGCCCCAACCCAAATGAGAATAATTTATTCTCTAATATATCACCTTAATACCTCACAATGTAGCAGAAAAATTGCGATAAAAAGTCTTTGGGCCTAACAAACTTTGCTTCTCCTATCTCTTTTCCTAAAAAAGCCGGTATTCCCGGTGATGAATACTCACATATAATGAGCTTCAGGCGACAGGTATATGTGTTTTCTCCCGCTGAAAACTTTGAACTCCACACCTCTCTAGTCATCTCATTCGACAACCAGGAAAACCGAATATTTCTATCCACTGACAAAATGGAATGTTTTATCTGTAAGCAGTTGGGACATATTGCCTCAAATTGTCCTAAACCCCCCACAAGCAATCTATTACCTATAACCACAGACACCACTCCCCAAACAACCACTACCTGTCAACCAGTTAGAGAAACCCGCAACGAACCTTCCCAACCACCCCAATTCCCCTCGCTCCCATACGTAATACCTCCTAATGCACAAACTACAGATAACCAAACAAGAGTAGTACCTGATGCAGAATTACCCCCATCTACTTCATCCCGTCAAACTGAAATGCCCCCGCCAAACCAAACTCCAAGCCATCGCAGCGAAAAACCAAAAAAGAAACGAAAGAGAATCGCTTCCACAGAAAGCAACCTAACGGAATCCACTAAGAAATCTATTGAAGAAGCGTATAAAAAATCTCCGGAAATTTTCTCGCTTCCTATTGACAGTCTGTGCGCCTTTCTAGAAAACACACGTGGTAATTCAGATCCGTATACCGAAGCATTAAAGTTTACAAACGATGTTAGGCCTCTACTCTCTAACTTAGAATCACTGTACCCCACCTTTACAGAAAGATCCATAAAAAATAGAATTACTCGACTCTCCAAAAAGATAAAAAGGCAGCTGAATCCAGAACCAGACGAACTCGAAGGTCTACGCAGCACAGACTCTACAAATGACCAAAGCGACGACGACCACTCAGATGGATCACAAAAGTCTCAGAGCTCGCAAAATTCCACCTTCTAACTTCGTTCAATCACGTTAATTCAATGGAACTGTGACGGGTTCTACCCCCGCTTAGAACGCCTTCAACAACTGATTTTTGATACAGCCCCAACATTTATCTGCTTACAAGAAACAAATTTTACACAGTCACATAATCCGCAACTAAAAAACTACATCAGCTACAACTTCATCAGAATTGCACACTTGAGAGCAAGCGGTGGAACCTCTATTTTTGTCAGCAATGACATATATCATCAGGAGCTCCACATAAACACCAACTTAGAAGCAATAGCAGTAGCCGCATGGTGCCCTAATAAACTTACAATCTGTAATGTGTACATCCCTCCAAATTACTACCTCACGAACTCAGAAATCGCCGATCTCATAAAGCAACTTCCTGTCCCTTTTCTATTGGTCGGAGACTTCAATGCACACGGAGCTATGTGGGGATCTAAGCTAACCTTTGGCAGAGGCAAACTAATCGAAAACCTCATAAACGACGCAAACTTAAATCTCCTAAACACCGGAAGCAGCACATACTTTCATATTCAAACAGGCACATTCTCTTCAATAGATCTGAGTCTTTGTGACCCGGGAATAGCTCCACTACTCACTTGGCACACCTTGGACTGTCTGTATGATAGTAATCACTTTCCCATCGTCATTTCTGACAACGAACCAAAAGAAGCAGTTTTTTTACGTAAGTAAGTGGAAAATTGCCGAAGCTGACTGGGACTCCTTCAGTCTAACCGTTAAGGAGCAAACCAACCAAATTATGTTCAGCAACAATATAAACGAAGCTGTCAGTCAATTTACCGACTGTATAATCTCTTCCGCTAACTTGCACATAGACAAATTCTACGTTACCTCGACAAAAAAATCCGTCCCGTGGTGGAATGAATCATGCAAACTTGCAGTAGAAAATGTAAAACAGCACTTAATAAATATAGAAGAACCAGAAACGACCAGGATTTAATTAATTTTAAAAAACTAAGGGCACAGTCAAGACGAGTTCTGAAAACCAGCAAACAAGAATCGTGGAACCAATATGTTAGCACAATAACCACAGATACACCGCCAGCTCAAGTGTGGACGAAAATGAAACAAATGAAAGGAAAAAACACAACCCACTCAATCCCGGCATTAATATATGAACGCAAACTTATTAAAGATGATCAGCAAATAGCCAATACCCTCGCTGAACAGTTCCATGAGAAATCTGTAAATAACAACTCCCCACCCGATCATCAACGTAATATAACCAACATTCCTCAATTTAGATCTCCCGACAACACCTCAATCAACCTTCCTTTCAATCAAAATGAACTGAATTCTGCCCTCGCAACGCTAAAAAACTCAGCCCCTGGACCAGATGACATACCATCCATCTTTCTAAAACATCTACTTCCAGAATCTTTAAATAAATTACTGGAACTCTATAATAAGATATGGATCACAGAGAACTTCCCGACATTATGGCACCAGGCGATCACCATACCTATTAAAAAAATACGACTCTTCCCCTACCAATCCCAGTTCCTTCAAACCTATCTCCTTGACATGTACATTATGCAAATTACTGGAAAAAATGATTGATAATCGACTACTCTGGTATCTCGAAAAACATCAACTTTTGGACGAAACACAATCAGGATTTAGGCCGAACCGATCTACAATCGACAACCTCGTCATCCTACAAACGGAAATTTCTCAAGCTTTTGGAAACAAGAACGTTGTCATAGCAGTATCCCTCGATATTCGCAGTGCCTTTGATGTCGGGTGGAGGTCCGCTATTTTGGAAAAGCTGAAAGAATTCGGTCTATCCGGACCCTTGTACTCATTTATACAACATTTTCTCAACGATAGATCTTTTAAAGTAACTATAAATGACAAAACTTCTGCAAGGCAATTTCCAAAAAACGGAGTCCCACAAGGATCCGTGTTAAGCCCCACTCTCTTTCTCCTCTGTATCAACAACATATGTTCTAGTGTACTACCTCCTGTAAAACATGTAATTTACGCAGATGATCTCATACTCTACTGCCAAGGCAAAATTTCAAGCACTACATCTACGTTACTGCAAAAGGCTCTAGATACAGTCCACACTTGGTCACGAAGCGCGGGCTTTAACTTTTCTCCACTGAAATCCAAAGTTATCGAATTCAGCAGAAGACACAACTCCCAACAAGCCAAATTATATCTGAATGAAATCCAACTAGAATCAGTTGACCACCTTAAACTCTTAGGAATAACATTTGATAAACGCCTCACTTGGAAACACCAGATACAGAATACAAAGGGTGAATGTCTAAAGCGAATAAATCTAATCAAGTCTCTAGCACACCACCAATGGGGGGGGCGGAAGAAGGGATGCTACTAAGAATATACAGAGCTTTGATCCGTTCGAAATTAGACTATGGAAGTATATTGTACACGTCAGCCAGCCCATCTCAACTAAAATCAATTGATACTGTGCAAAATACAGCCCTACGAATTTGCCTCGGCGCATTCAAATCCAGTCCCTCTGAAAGCATATATGTAGAATCCTCTGAACCCCCCCTATTTATTAGAAGACAGCGTCTTCTACAATCATACTTCGCTCGAATCTCTGCACATCCTACCCATCCCGTTTATAAATTAATACATTCCACTGAACTAGTACCTACCCACAAACAGACCGAGAACACCGCAGTCCATTATCCAAATCCTGCAATCTATACCAAATAACAATATCCATCTCACAAATACAACTCCCATCAAACTCTCAAATACCCCGCCATGGGTAAAATTGCTACCCAACTTAGACACCAGTTTAACTGTCCATAAGGAAACACCTGCTCCGTGCCTTAAAGCTCTCTTCAACGAAATAATAAACAGACATTCCTTTGACAAAACTCTTTATACTGATGCGTCCAAGGAAGAACATGGCGTCAGCAGTGCAATCACCACAACTAATACAATCGTGTCAACACACCGACTTCCCGAAACCTGCAGCATTTACACTGCCGAACTACACGGCATCCTAAAACCACTACAAAGCTTAACGCACACTAACAAATCCGTAAGCATATGTACCGAATCACTCTCATCTCTCCAACCCATAAAGAACATCTACACACAAAACCCAATTGTCCAAGATATTCACGAGGTATGCTATCGACTGACGTCCAATGGAACTGCGGTCACTATAATCTGGCTTCCGTCACATACCGGCATAAATGGCAACGAAAATGCAGACAAAGCCGCAAAACAAGCTCGATCATCTGACATACCCGCATCGAAAAATTGCAGTTGGCGTACGATCTAAAATCTCTCATCAGACGAGAGCCTAAAAACATGGCAGCAGCACTGGAATAGGCTAAACACGAAACTGCACCAAATCCAAGTCAACGTAACTCCTACCAAAATACCACCAATGTCAAGAAGAGACAAAATCGTCATATAAGAAGACTGAGAATAGGCCACTCTCACCTCTCGCATGGTTACCTAATGGCATCCGAAAATCCTCCAGTCTGCGAACACTGCAACACCAGATTAACAATAAGCCATGTCCTGTTAGAATGTCGCCGTTACAGTACCTCTCGACTGGACCACCACCTCAGTGAATCACTCCAGAACATCTTAAGCAACCAGCTCTACGATGTAATAAACTTTCTGAAATCAACAAACTTGTACAAGTGCATCTAATGTAAATC